TCCTGAAAGAGGCAAGGAGAGGACACGAAGAAATGCTATCTGGTCATGATCCTCAGGATATTACATAAATTATTTAAAAAGTGACTTATCTTCTCCTTAGGAAAAATGAACGTCTTTAGTTCTTTGTTGAACTCTAAAACCTTAATTTGTGGTAGAAAACAAATTTTCTAGAAGCCAACGTTACTTTTAAGGGGGTGATGCTTACATTGCAACTATTGTCTGATAGCCTGTTGGGTGAAGTTAACATTTTTGACTTAGAATATTAGAGACTGAAAGCTAACATTGTATGAAAGAAGGGTAGGAGGGAACCAGCTACTTACTGAGGCTTTGGAGCAACCCACGATTGAGTTAGCCAATCATCTGGGCCAGCTCTATGCATAGGCAGAGTGGGTGGCTGCCTGCATCTTGAGGGTGCCTCAAGTCCCCTTCTGCCTACATATGTCTCTCTCACCAACCAGTCAGGGCACATCCCTCCCTCTTACCTAGCATGAAACTCCTACTCCTTTGAGTAGGCTAAAAAGTTAAGGGCATGTTATACCTATATTACACCCTAGGAAAGAAGGGGAAAGAACATGCTCTTCCATTAATGTAGTAGCACAGTTTCCCAGATAACCAGCTATCATTTGAAAGGTGCCTTAAGGGTCCAAAAGGAGTGGAACATAAGATAAGTAAGTTTCCTGGGGGGTGGAGGGGTGGAGGGGGAGAGAGTTTGAGAAAGTTCTCAATGGGGTAGAAAGGCAAGCTCTATTCAAGAATGGTAAACCTCTAGGGGGCCCCATATTTGGGGGGGTCCTGGGAAAAGAAAAATGAGGGCCCTTGACACCTAAAGTTACAAACAATAATAACTAATATTTAAGGTTTGCAAAGTACTTTTACACATATTATGTAATTTGATCCTCATAAAACCCTGCTGGCAAAATATGCCTTTTTGCAGATAAGGAAACTGAGGCTTAGGGAAGTTAAGTGACTTGCCTAAGATCACAAAGTTAGTTAGTGGCTGGACAAGATTTGAAATCAGGCCTTTCTGGTGTTTTTTTTTTAATTTTTCTTTTTTTTAATATAAATTTATTTTTAGTTTTCAATATTTACTTCCACAAGATTTTGAATTCCATATGTTCACCCCATCTTGGCCCTCCCCACACCCCAAGATGGCATGTATTCTGAATACCCCTTCCCCTAGTCTGCCTTCCCTTCCATCTCTCCCCCCTCTTCTCTTATCCCCTTCCCCGTCTATTTTCCTGTAGGGCAGGATAGATTTCTGCACCTCATTTCCTGTATTTCTTATTTCCCAGTTGCATGTGGAAACATTTTTTTTAAACATGCATTTTTAAAACTTTGGGTTCCAAATTTTCTCTCTTCCTCCCACCCCACCCACCCTCATTGAAAAGGCAAGCAACTCAATACAGGCCATACAAGTGCAGTTATGCAAAACACTTCCACAGTAGACATGTTGTGAAAAACTAACTCTATTTCCCTTAATCCTATCCTGCCCCCCATTTATTCTATTCTTTCTTTTGACCCTGTCCCTCCTCAGAAGTACTTCCTTCTGATTACCCCTTTCCCAATCTGCCCTTCTCTCTATCATCCCCCTGCTCTCTTGTCCCCTTCCTCCCCTATTTTCCTGTAGGGTAAGACAGATTTCCATACCCAATTGAGTGTGTATGTTATTCTCTCCTTAAGCCAAATCCTATGAGAATAAGATTCCCTCATTTCCTCTCACCTTCCCCTGTTTCCCCTCCACTGTAAGAACCTTTTCTTGTCTGTTTTGTGCAAGATAATGTACCCCATTCTACCTCTCCCTTTCTCCTTCTCCTAGTATAATCCTCTCTCACCCCTTAATTTTATTCTCCAGATATCACCCTTCATCTTCAACTCACCCTGTGCCCTCTATCTATCTATCTATCTATCTATACATACATATAATTTTTCCCCTCCAACTACCCTAATACTGACAAAGGTCTCATGAGTTATAAATATCATCTTTCCATGCAGGAATGTAAACAGTTCAGCCTTAATAAGTCTCTTATGATTTCTCTTTCCTGTTTACCTCTTCACGTTCCACTTGAGTCTTGTATTTGAAAGTCAAATTTTCTTTTTCATCAAGAATGCTTGAAAGTCTTCTATTTCACTGAATGACCATGTTTTCCCCTGAAGGATTATACTCAGTTTTGCTGGGTAGGTGATTCTTGGTTGTAATCCTATCTCCTTTGCCCTCCGGAATATTATATTCCATGCCCTGTGGTCCCTTAATGTAGAAGCTGCTAAATCTTGTGTTATCCTGATTGTGTTTCCACATACTTGAATTGTTTCCTTCTGGCTGCTTGTAATATTTTCTCCTTGACCTAGGAACTCTGGAATTTGGCTGCAATATTCCTAGGAGTTTTCCTTTGGGGATCTCTTTCAGGGGGAGATTGGTGATTCTTTCAATTTCTATTTTGCCCTCTGGTTCTAAAATATCAGGGCAGTTTTCCTTGATAATTTCTTGAAAGATAATGTCTAGGCTCTTTTTTTGATCATGGCTTTCAGATAGTCCAATAATTTTTAAATTCTCTCTCCTGGATCTATTTTCCAGGTCAGTTGTTTTTCCAATGAGATATTTCACATTGTTTCTAATTTTTCATTCTTTTGGATTTGTTCTACTGTGTCTTGATTTCTCATAAAGTCACTATCTTCCAATTGCTCTATTCTAATTTTTAAGGAAGTATTTTCTTCAGTAATCTTTTGGACTTCCTTTTTCATTTGGCCAATTTTGCTTTTTAGGGCATTCTTCTCATTGGCTTTTTGGACTCTTTTGCCATTGGGGTTAGGCTATTTTTAAGGTGTTATTTTCTTCAGTATTTTTTGGGGGTCTCCTTTAGCAAGCTGTTGACTTGTTTTTCATGATTTTCTTGCATCACTTTCATTTCTCTTCACAGTTTTTCCTCTACTTCTCTTACTTGCTTTTCAAAATCCCTTTTGAGCTCTTCCAGTGCCTGGGACTGATTCATATTTTTCTTGGAGGCTTTGGATGTAGGAGCTTTGACTTTGTTGTCTTCTTCTGGTTGTATGTTTTGATCTTCTTTGTCACCAAAGTTAAGATAATATAGTCTGACTCTTTTTGTGAGGTTTGCTCATGATCCCAGCCAATTACTTGGGTTTTAAACTCTTTGTTAAGGTAAAAGTCTGCTTCCAATGTGGAGAATGTACTGTCCCAAGCTTCGGGGGTTTGTACAGCTGTTTTCAGAGATACTTGTAGGGACCTGTAAATTTTCAGTCCTTCCAAGGTGGTATGATAAGGGTGAAGGAGGTGTTTACTCTTTTCCTGGCCTGAGCTCTGGTCTTTGAGTGACCGGCCACAAGCAGTCTTTTCTCTCTTGGAACTGTGAGGAAGGTTTCCTCTCCACAGCCACTACAAGCTCCACCTCGCCAGCACTCCTCCTCACCCCAGGACCGCCACCCAGAACTGTGACCCAGATCCAAGCATGGGCAAAGAAAGAGATCCCTGCAGTCCCCCTCTGATCAGCCACTTGATTCCCCCTCAGTCTGTGGGTCGGAAGCTCAGGACACAGCCACCACCTGGGCACCAGCGCTCTGCTCTGGAACTGGCTCTGACCTAGCTCTTCTCTCACCACAAAAACAGACTTTTCCCACTGACCTTCTAAGTTGTCTTTGGCATTCGTGGATTGAGGAGTCTGGAAGCCACCACAGCTGCCCATGTTTCAGTCCTCTGAGGCCTGCTCTAGGTTCACCGCAGCCTGCACACCCACACTCAACTGCGCTCCCCTTCCCACCTGGCGCGATAAGCCTTTCCAATCAACCATCCAGGCTGTCTTGGGCTGGAAATTTGTTTCATTCTGTCTTTTTGTGGGTTCTGCTGCTTTAGAATTTGTTTAGAGCCATTTTTTGTGGGTATTTGGAGGGGTTTGGGGGAGAGCTCAAGCAAGTCACTGCTTTCAAGCTGCCATCTTGGCTCCGCCCCCTCAAAATCAGGTCTTGCTGCTTCCAAATCCAATAGCCTATCCACTGCACCACCTAACTTTAGTGTTAACTGCAGGCCACCGAAAACATGGATAAATTTTGCAAAAACAACAGCAACAATAATAAAGAGGATGAATGTAAGAAATAATTCATTTGGACTCCTATTGTATTCTAATCAGTTTGATATAACACATAAATCATATAGGGATAGATAGGTTCTTATAGTGGACCTCAAACTTTAATGTAATGTTTACTACTTGTTTACCAGGTTATGAGGCTCACTTGTGTAACCACAAGAATTCTGACAAAGATATCTCCACCCTGTTTTATTCAAATTCCACATCCCAACCAAGCATGTTGGGATGCCTCAATGCTTTGCAAAGTCCTCCAATTTATTTTTGTACCTCCAGGCCATTCTCTCTTGTCCAACATGAGCAAGTGACCATCTTATGACCACCTAGTGTAGGTGCTCCATGCTTCACCCAACCTGTGTCACCCCTCCTCACCCCACCAACATGTCATGTCTGGCCCTCAAGAGCAAGATCTCTCAACCAATGAGATTTTGCCATTCCCTTTTTGCATATTTGGGTTTCAAACCCTACAAAAAGCAAGGTATTGGAAGAAGGGGGCATCTCAGATCAAGAGGAAGATATGAGGTTGACTTCTTTAGAGAGAACCATGGACCTTTAATTAAGTGCCATTGCCTCAGAGCTCTGCCTCAGCCTCTTCTATTGTAGGTTGGGTAATTTTAACCCCAACACATAGTAGAAAGAACACTAGCTCTGGAGTCAGAGGACCCGGGATCGAATCCAACCTCTGACACAATGCCTGTGTGACCTAGGGCAAATCATTTAAATTCCCTGGGCCTCAGTTTACCTACATATAAAACAAGAGGAGTAGGACTAAATGACCTCTGATATCCCTCCTAGCTCTAGTCTTATGATCTCTGAAGGTACTCAAGAAACTCTCAAATTCTATCACACGAATTGCTGCAAATTCTTTTGCAGAAAAGAAAGTAAGAAAGAACCTTTGGGGTTACCCACCTTTTTTCCAGCCATGGCAGATAGGAGATGGCTTCACATTTCATAGTAGTAAAGGCTTGGCCAAACACATGCTGTGGAAATTTCTTCAATTCTGATTCAGTCATCTTCCGAAATCCCAGCACAGTGTCAGCCCAGAAGGGCCTCTTTTGGTGAGGAACACTTCTATATATCTGCCAGCTAAAAGCCATGGGATGAAGAGACCTCTTCAGTTTTCATGGAACACATACACTCAACATTATCAACAATAACAAAAATGTCCTGTATTTCTCTAGCTCTTTACATATGCTGTCATATGTGATCTCACTTGCCCCTCTTTGATAAGCTTCATGCTGTTCACCTTGGCCTCTCTCACTACTGAGCACAGTGGTGCCTTGTATGAACACACAACAAATATTTGTCGAGAGAGCAAACAAATGAGGTGTGACTGTAAAGCCATGAGAGAGGATTTTTCGAGTGGAGTTTTTTAATTGGCTCTGAAGGTAATTGCAAAAGCTGAGTTTCCAAAACTATTTTGATCAGTGCAACAGCTCAGAATCAGGACATAGCCTTCCAAAGTGACTACTAATAGTCAATTATAATCAATCAATAAACATTTATTAAACATATAGGTCATATGCCAGGCACTATGGTTTGGTGCTGGGGATACACAGGCAAAAATGAAGTAATTCCTGTCCTGAGGAACCTTACTTTGAAGAGGAGGGCAAATTCTGGTTTCTCAAAGGATCTCCTGGCTTTATATTTACATGTATATAGTCTCTTTAACAAAGCATCCTGGGACAAGCCTCACAAACCATACCAGGGCAAGTTGAAAGAAACAAGCTGTCATTCTGGTGAAGGCAGGGGCAGTTTAGGACCAAATCCTATGGAGGAGAGAAAGAGACTCCAGGCAAGTGGTGAAAGGTATACTGGAAGATGTAGGCCAGGTTGGGGAGGAGTGAACACCAACCCATGTGTTTGTTTCTTTTAATTAATTATTCCTGACAACTAAGTGTTAAGTTCTATTGTTTGGACCTGCAGAATGCCTCCAAATGCTGTCAGTATGCTCTAACTTTGGCACCTATGGGTGATTCATCCCAATCAGGACTCTGCCCCCAATCATTCTGACCATTTCAGGGTCTTCAAGAATGGCCACAAGTAAATGAAACAAACATTTTTACTGAGGACCTTACCTGCTATGTGGTCAGCACAGGCAATATATTCCAAAGAGATGGGAATGGCTTCATTTCTTAAAACTTCTCAAAGAAAATGATTGTACACCCTCCCTTTGTAATTCATTCCAGGATCTAACAACCTTCAATGTCAGTAAATTTTCCCCTCATGCTATAATTTGTCCACGTTTTTTTCTTGTTCTAGACTATGGAGACTGAAAATATGAGATCAGAGCTCAATTACATATCTAGAAATGGAAAAGATAATAAAGGTCATCTTAATCCAACTTCCCAATTTTACAGATGGGGAAACTGAGGCTGTTAGCAGTTAAATGACTTACTCAAGATCTCACTGGTCATAAATGACAGAATCAAAATTCAAATGCAGGTCCTGTGACTCTAAGGTCAGAATTCTTTTCACAATATCACAAATCTAGAGCCAACTAGTCAAATCCTCTCATTTTATAAATGGGGCAACTGAGTCCCAGGGAGATTAAGTAATTTGTCCAAATTCACACAGCTGATAAGATTTGGTCACCAATTTCTATATAAAACATGATAGTAAAAAGTAGCTAAAATTTGTATAGCTCTTTGTGATTTACAGATTACTTAACATACATTATCTCATTTGATGCTCGTGACAACCTTATGAGGTAAGTACTGCATTACTATTACCCCCATTTTACAGATTTGAAAACAGGCACTAGGAGGTTGTGACCTGCCCAAGGTCATATAATTAAAAAATGGTAGGGCCAATGAGGACCCTGAGTAATTTTTTTTAAAAAGCCAAACTGTCCTTCTTGATATTTCTCATGAAATATCATGAAAATTCCATCTTCAGGCTGGCCCCTTATTGAAAGACACTCTCTTTATTGTATCCCTGGTTAAAATCCCTAGTTTTCTTCCAAATTCAGTTCCAAAGCCACTTCCTCTGTGAGGCTTCTCCCTTCCCCCCCCAAAAAAAAAGTACTTTGCTTTTATTTTGCATACATTGCACATGTATTTATATGTGTCTATGTGGTATCCCCCTCCAGAATGTAAGCTTGAGGCCAGGGATAATTTAGTGTAGGTCCTTAGTGCCTTCTGGCACATAGTAGGCATTCATAAATGTTTATTGATTTGGAGAAGAAAATGTTTAACTATATTCAGCATCCTCTATTCAAGGAGCCAGGAAAATGTATGACAGGTTTTTTAAAGATGTCCGTTCCCATTACCACAATTCTGTAAAGGAAAACATGGTAAAACTTCTTAATTCTGATCAATGCAGTGACCCATTGAGTCTTCAAAAGATAGACAAGCAAGATTCCCATTTCTCAACAGACAGGTGGCAGACTATAGGTGTGGTATGAGACATACATTTTCAGATGTGGGAAATACGTTGACATGTTTGGCTTTTTTTCTGGATACTCCTAGGCTAGCTACATGAGGTAGCAAAGTGAGTAGAGCGCTGAACTTGGAGTTATGAAAAGCTGAGGTCAAATCCAACCTCAAACACTTGCTAGCTATGTGACCCTGGGCAAGTCATTTAACCTCAGTATGCCTCAGTTTCTTCATTTATAAAATGGGGATAATAATAGCACCTACCTCCCAAGGTTGTTGTGAAGATAAAATAGATATTTTTAAAATGTTTTATAAACCTTAAAGCACTATGTAATTGCTAGCTAGCTATAAGTTTCAAAGGAGGGCTATTTTTTTTTCAGGGAGGGGTTGTTATTGAGAAATGACAGAAAAAGAAAAATTATCAGTAAAACATCAGAAACATATAGTAGCATCTAACTTGACCAAAAAATGCTTAACCTTACTTACTTGTAATAAGAAACATTCTGTGGGGAGTCATTAGGAAATGACAGTGATATTTCAAAAGGTTCAATAAAACATTTTTAAATGTCTATCTAAATAGATAAAATCAAAACATTCTGGAAGATTCATTTTTGTGGTATACCTCTCGCCTCCACTGATGCCAGATAAATGCCGTCTTACTATATACAAGTATATAATGCTTCTGTTTATATGTTTCAATATCATGCTATGAAAGTCATTAGTCTCAATACACAGAAACCATGTTCGACTCTTCCTTCACTATAACCATTTTTTCTACCATGTTACTCCTAACTAACCATTCCCCCAAACAAACACAAAATTATTTTTTTGCAAGGAGCCATAGCAATTGTTTATTGTCTCTAAAGCAGCTAAGTACTATCTTTCTATCTCTTTTTCTCTCTCTACCACTTTTCAAATGCTGTTTCTAATTCCCTTGTCATTTGGCTCACCAAGAGCATATCTTATGATGAAGAGCATGTTTATTCACAGGTGTTTGACATTTTTTCAAAGGCCCTCCTGAAATTTGCTCACTTACCCAGATACCAGGTGAATGCCAGCATCTATAGCTTCTGATGAATTAGTGATTGCAAACAATCTGTCAAAGGTCTCTTGAAACCATTGCTTCTGCAGGTGAATTGGTGTATCTATCATTATGACAAAAAAAAAAAAGGGAAACAGATGGGGAAAACACAGTTTTTTAAAAAAGACTTCAGACCAGCTCCTCCCTGAGGACCAGAAAATGAACTAAGAAACATTTTCTTTGATTATATCACTCCCCTGTTAGAAGCTTCCATGGTTCACTGTTACCTCTAGGATAAATTATAAATAAAGCCCCTGAAAATATGAGATAATCTTGCTTACATGTTAGGTGAATTGGGCATGCCCAGAGAAGCCTGGGTTACTCTAGAATAAACTATGGACAGAGTACTAAAGTCAGTAGTGAAAGAAGTGAGGATTGTATGTTGACAGGACATAGGACTGCCACCCCCCATTTCAGAGAAGCAAGGCCTCCCCTCACACTTCACAGAAATTGGCCATTGGACCACTGTCTTTATCATGTCTTTCCTCCCCTTGTTTGCAAGAGCCACAACTGTCCAGGCCAGGGGTGCGGAACCTGCAGCCTTGAGGCCCCACCCCTGGTCTAGGCCTAAAACTGTAGAGTCATAACTGAGCAAGGAGAGGTCATGAAAGAACAATGACTCAGGCTGATTCCTTTCCTGAGCCACCTGTCCATTGTACATGCTTCATGCTCTCTGTTGCCTTGCTATTTCATGAGGTTTTGTTCCTGCAAACTATTCACCCCCCACTAGGCTTTGGACTTGTTCTTGGGTTCTGTTCTCCTTCTGGATGAATTGCTTCTGCAGATTTGTGACCCTGTGTTTTCCATCTTAGATCTCTGTTTGGAACAGGTCCTTCTATTTTCTTCCCCAATTCAGACAAAATGAATGAACAGAAAGGGAAACAAATATTAATTAAATACCTACTACATGCTAAGTGGGAGAGGGGGCTGTATACAGGAGGGGATAGGTGGAAAATGTCCTGAGTGAAGATGAGAACCAAGAGGAGTGGTTTAGTTCCTCCCAAGCATGTTCTCAGACGGTCTGTTTGTTAAGAGCTGCTAATCTCTGGTACCCCATGCCCCCACTACCAATGCCACAGTCACCATTACCATGCCAGCCTTGGGCAGAGAACCAAGAAAGGCCCACCCATCTTTAACAGCAGAATTCTAGTCTAACAATGCTAACTGCAGTTTCTCTCACCTGGATAAGCATGAGGAATAAGCATTCCAGCTGCTACATCGCTAGTGGTGTCAGGTGTAAATTTATCTGAAATAACATCGACGGAGCATTGTGGGATGGATTCAGAAATGCAGACGGCTGTGGAGAGTCCAACCACACCTGCACCGATAACGGCAACCTTGGTCATATCCATTGGCTCTGTGAAGGTGGGGGAAAGAGAATTCTAAAATACTGTTTGGAGACTTTCTGTTCTTCCAACAGAAACTGTGCTTCTGAAAAACTTTCATTAAGCATTGAATTAAATCACAATACAGTATAATAAAATATGATACAACAAATACATACTAAGTGCCTACACAGTTGCCTCCGACTGATGGACTCCCATTTGGATCACATTCCATTTAAGGTCAAGATTTTAAAACAACAACATGTTAATTGTAGGATTTTGTTCAGTCGTTTTTGTTTTCAGTGACGCCCAACTCTTTGTGACCCCCAACTCTTGGTGACCCCATTTGGTGTTTTCTTGGCAAAGACACTGGAGTGGTTTGGTATTTCCTTCTTCAGCTCACTTTACAGATGAGGAAACTAAGGCAAACAGTGTTAAGTGGCCTGCCGAGGATCACACAGTTAGTACATGTCTGAGGTCAGACTTGAACTCATGAAGTTGAGTCTTCCTGACTTCAGGATGGCACTCTCTCCACTGTGTCATCTAGGTATAGAATAGCTTCTATTAATCATGGACCCATTTCTGATGGGATAGTTACAGGTAGAAAGCTGAGGTAGGTGTAACGGAGCTAGGATAGAATTCAGAGCTGGAATGGACATCAGGAAGGAAGGAAACAAGAATTCATTAAGCACCTACTGTGTGCCAGGCACCTTACAAATATTATCTATTTGATCTTCCCAACAACACTGGGAGGTAGGTGCTATTACTATCCCTATTTTACAGTTGAGGAAACTGAGGCAAACAGAGATTAAGTGATTTGCCCAAGCACACAGTAAGTATTCGAGGCTGAATTTGAACCCAGATCTTCCTGAGCCCAGGCCAGAACTCTATTCACTGTACTACCCAGCTGCCTTGGAGATCTTGGAGTCCAGTGCCTCCTGTCAAATTCATCATACCCAAGGCCTCTTATACATAGAATTCCAACCTGAGGTACCAAAAGACCATAGGTGGTCCGGAAACAAGAGCTCTAACAGAGTTGTATTGGAAGGACACACAAGAACGTTCCCATGCCAGAAGTTTCTCTGCAAGATTAAAATTAATCTGGTGATGATGACACACATACTCGAAAATCCGTATTGTCATTGGGACACTTCCAAGACAGGAGTTAATTAGTTCATCAATAGGTGTGTGGGGGAACATTTGGTATGTGCTCAGGTCCGTGAGATAGACTTTCCAAGGTAATTTTGCAGCAATGTACTATTTAAGACCACTACTGCAAACCTGTAAACTTTATGGTTACAACATGTTCTCATAATTACGCTCTGATTCCCATCTTACCATTGCTTGTTCCCACTTTTCCTTGTTTCCCCAAGCAAGTTGACCAGCCCAGAAGTGTATAATACGATTATTGAAGGGAGCCAGAAAAGCTCACCTGCCCCCCCAAATTTCTTACCTGCCGTAAAGTGAAAAGAACATTGGATTTGAGTTGATCAGCCAACCAGCATCTATTAAACACTATGTGCCAGATATTGTGCTAATTTCTAAGGGTACAAAGACAAAAAAGAAACAGTTCCTGCCCTCGAGGAGCTTATATTCTAAAAGGGTTGACAATATATACTTATACAGGTAAATAGAGAATACTAGAACATGAATATAAGGTATTTTGAGTGCTGCCTTGGCCACTTCTTACCTATGTGACGTGGGTTAAGTTACTATGGGGCAGCTAGGTATTGCAGTGGATAGAGAACAGGGCCTAGAGTCAGAAAAACCTGAGTTCAAATCCAACCTTAGATATTTGCTAGCTGGCCAAGTCACTTAACCCTGTTTGTCTGTTTCTTCATCTGTAAAATGACCTAGAGAAGAAAATGGCAAATCACTCCAGTATCCTTGCCAGGAAAACCCCAAATGGGGTAACAAAGATTAGGACACAACTGAACGACAACTTTGCTTCTCATTTATAAAATGTAAAATAATGCTACCTCACGAGGCTGTTTTAAGGAAAAGACTTTGTAAATATTAAAGCCACCTAATTGTGAATTATTACTATTACTTGAAATTTCACTGTTAGAGGTCATTCCTTTGGATTAAGGATTTGCCAAGAGGTCCAGAAGTCTTCTGATAATATTTTACTCTTCTCAGAACATTTGCATTTAACCCTTTGAAGAGGATTTCATCTGCAGATTGTCTGGGTGTGGATGGGATACCTAATTATAAGAAAAGGGGACATAGAATAGTAAGTTTCAATGAGGGCAGGAGGAGGGAAGAGGACAGAACACAATTTGAAGGGGAGTGGGGAGGGCTCTGCCCTAAACCAGGGACAGCATGGTCTAGTGGGCAGAACGGTTAGAGAACTTGGGTTTAAATCTAGCCTAAAACACTTACTACTTGCAGACACTTAAGGGACCTTGGGAAAAATCACAGAACCTCTCAGCAGTTTCCTCATCTGTAAAAATAAAGCCCTGGTTGGAGTAGCTAGGTGGCGAAGTGGATAGAGCACCAGCCTTGGAGTTAGGAGGACCTGAGTTCAAATCCGACCTCAGACACATAACACTTACTAGCTGTGTGACTCTGGGCAGCTCACTTAACCCCGATTGCCTCACCTCCTCAAAAGAAAAGGGGGAAAAAAAAAAGACCTGGATTCGATGGCTTCTGAGGACCCTTCCAGCTCTAGAGCTATGGTTCTATGAAGCATTGATAGGCACTGAGGAAGAGGAAGGTCCAGACAAGAGGTAGGAAAGTAACAAAGACAAGTTTTACTCTTCACAATTTTTCTGTTGGGGGTCAGTCTTGATCAGCCTCAACACCTTTGTCTATAGAATATCTAGCCAGGGGTGAAGAACCTGCAACCTCAAGGCCATATGTAGCCCTCTAAGTACTCAAGTGTGGCCCTTTGACTGAATCCAAACTTCACGAAACAAATTCCCTTAATAAAAGGCCAGTCTAGCCTGTGTGGGCCTTGTGATGATGGGACAGAGAAGCAGAGCAGCATCACTGTGTCATGGAAAGAGCCATTTTCAGAGTCCAAGGATCTGAATTCAGATTCCAGCTCTTCCTCCTCGGTCAATTCACTTAACCTCTCTGGGCCTCAATTTCTGCGAATGTAAAACCAAGAGGTTGGACTAGATCAGGAGTTTTTAATCTTTTGGGAAATCATGGACCCCTCTGGCAGACTAGTAAGGTTAAGTAAGCCCTCCTCAGAATAATGTTTTTAAATGCATAAAATAAAATATATAGGATTAGAAAAAAAATTGAAATAGTTATCAAAATATTTTAAAGAAACAATTTCATGGACAACAGGTTAAGAATCCCTAGAGATGATCTCTAAGGAACTTTCCCTCTTGGATCCTGCCTTTAAAAGCTGGTGAATGCTAATGGCATATTACATAATACTACTTAAAAGCAAAAGAGGAGCTGTGGTCACTAATTCTAGCAGCACTCATTCAAGACTCCCAGCTCACCAGCTTCCAGGCCACCTTTGAGGCACTCAGGACCCTGCAGAAACCTCTCACATTTAGACAATTCCACCTGGTTAGCGAAGTGAAGGAGAAAATACCTGGACTGCACAGGTCTGGAGAGTCAGCCTGGGAATCCACGAAACACTTGAAATCAAAACACTTGTTTTCCCAGAGGCACAGGAGAAAGAGCGGAGCCAGCGAGGGCCAAAAGTAAAGCTGCTCCCCATTGGAGGTATTTGGACGACGCCCCCGCTGACTTCACTCCCCATTGGCCAGTGGGTCTTTTCGGCGATCGAACCTCCTGATCCCTCCCCCGCTCTAGGGACTCGGGCTCCCCAGGAGGGAGCTTATAAAATAACGTTGCAAAGCTGCCAGAAGATTTATAAAAACAGTTTTGCCCGCTCTCCTCCTTTGTCTCCCCTCCCTCCCAGGTTTCATTTTATACCTAGAGTCCAGCTGTCTCCTTGACGTGCCTGAACTCTTTGGTGACCCAGGGAGCCCGGGCTGGAAGCCAAAATTCCATTACTTTCCTTTGACCCTTCCTGGCAGTCACCTCTCCACCACCTAAGTTCACTTTCTTGTTAGCCTCCAAGTCCAGCTGGCAAAGAGCGACTCCCAGGGTAGATCCTGTGGGACGTAGCTGTCTCTACCTGTGGACTCCCTTCCTAGTGAACCGGAGGCTTGGTTATTTTTGTTATTTTAAATAGAGGACCAGACTTTTAAGGTTATCAGCAGCCTTGGAAGCCCATGTACAGGCAACTCCTTTACAAAGAAAATCTCAGAACAATCGAAATGATTGTGAGCAGCGACTTGAAGCATTGCGAGCTTTGTATGAGAGAACATCTCACAGATGGCCAGTCACATGATACCTGAAATTCCACCATTATTGCTCACCTGGGGAAAAGAGTTAATTAATAATTTGTTGTTGCCCAGCATTGTCCTACCCTTCGTGACCCCATTTGGAGTTTTCTTGGCAAAGATACTGAAATGGTTTGCTATTTCCTTCTCCTGCTCGTTTTACAGATGAGGAAACTAAGGCAAACAGGGTTAAGTGACTTACCCCAGGGATACACAGCCAATAAGTGTCTGAGGCCAGATTTGAATTCATGAAGATGAGTTTTTCTGACTCCAGGCCTGGCACACTATCCACTGTGCCACCTACCTGCCCCTTCATTAACAATACTTTTCAAAATATATTCAACAATTATTTGTGGTTGAGATCTCATCAGCACTTTGTGTAACACATTGTGTTAAATGCATTAGGCATTCTTAACCTTTGTTGTGGTTCGCTTTGGTGAGGAGTCTAGGACCCCTTCTCAGAATGTTTTTAAGTGAATAAAACAAAACTCATAGGATTACAAAAGAAACCAATTATATTGCAATGATTATCCCAAAAAAAATTTTTTTAAGTTCATGGACCCCAGCTTAAGAACCCTTTCAAAGGATATAAAGACGTATAGGAAATACAATGCCTGCCTTCATAGAGCTTATGGATCATCACAAGGTCTAGATTTAGAGCTAGAAGGAGTTCAGAGGTCATCTAGTCCAAACCCCTCATTTTACAAATGAGGAAACTGAGATCCAGAGAGGTTAAATGACCCCTTCAAGGTCATACAGATAATAAGTTTGAGGTGGGATTCAAAACCACATCTTGATTTCTAAAATAAGTCTGGCCATGAGACTCCACTATTCAATAAATTCCAGTGGCTTGTCATTACCTCCAGGATCAAATAAAAATCCTCTGCATTGCATTCAAATTCCTTCATAACCTGCCCCTGCTCCTACATTTCCATTTTCTCACATCTTACTACCCCTCCAACACACTCTGTGAAGCAGTGACTCTGAGCATTTCCGTTTGCTGTCTCCTGTGCCTGGAATTCTCTCTCTCCTCTGCCTCCTGGCTTTCCTACCTTCCAGGAAATCTCAGTTAAAACCCAACTTCTGTGAGAAGCCTGTCCTGATCCCCCCAATGCTAATGTCTTCCCTCTGTTGACTGTCTCCAGTTTATCCTGTGTACGTGTTTTTATTTCTCCTTCATTAGACTATGAACTCCTTGAAATCAGAGGCCATTTTTTGCCCTTTTTTCTCTCCTCAGTCCTTAGCACAGCACTTGGCACAGAGTAAGTATTTAATAATTATTTGTTGATTAGTTGCTTTTCTCTTGAGGTAACCTATTAAAAGCTCACTTTTACATAGAACTTTAAAGTTTGCAAGGAGGTCTCTATACATATGATCTCATTAAATCCTAATAATAATTCTGGGAAGTAGGTGCTATTATTATCCCCATTTTACAGATAAGAAAACTTATTCAACAGGACAGGTAGGTGGTACAGTGGATAGAGCACCAGCCCTGGAGTCAGGAAGACCTGAGTTCAAATCAAATGTCAAACTCGTAACACTCACTAGCTGTGTAATTCTGGGCAAGTCACTTAACCCCAATTGCCTCACACAAAAAAAATAAAATAACTTATTCAAAAAGTTAAGTGACCTGCTGAGGGTCACATAGCTAGTAAGTTTGAGGGAGGATTCAAACCCAAATCTTGATTCCATGTACAATACTCTATCCAGTAGACTTTGGTTGATTATATATATATATATATATATATATATATTTCATATTTATTACTTGCATATTTGTTGTAGCTACCAGGTACAAAAGAATATAAGCTTTTTGAGGGCAGAGACAATGTCATTTTTCATCTAAATATTCCCAGTACCAAGTGTCTCACCCATAATAGAAACTTACTAAGTATTTGTTGAATTCATTTTTTTAAATGGGAATGGGAAATTGGACAACTGAGCTAAGGCTCATAGGCAAGCAATTCCTCAAATAAGCAATGTTTGGGAAACAGTGAAACTGGCTAGGGAGGGAGGAGAAGAGGATTTTAAGTAATAATAAGAAGTAGGTCGGAAAAACATCAGTTGGGGCCAGTGTGTAAAGGGTTGAGCAGGAAGGAAACATGTTTTGTATAATATGGTTCCTGGTAAATTGACCAAAAAGAAGAAAGACTAAAGTGGAGAAATCATTTGGGAGGCTCAAGGCTTGGTATGATAAAGGATAGAATTCATGGTGTGGCAATAGGAATGAAAGAAAAAAGGACGAATACAGAAGATATTTCAAGGGAGGAAATGACAGACTTTGGCCACTGGTGGAATATTCTCAAAGAGTTCACAATCCTGTTGCAACTGATTTATCAAAACATGATAGTATTTGTAACTAAAAAACAGATAAAGTTAAAACTTTATAAGTTAAAATACAAAAGCATAACCACATTGGGTCAGAGCAATGCCCAAAAAGGCCCTGTCTTTGACAGTGTCAGCAATGGGCCCTTTGAGGGAAAGTATGTTTCTAACCTCCTTGATATCGACCTGAAAGATTAGACATATTTCTCTCCCAAAAAACTCTTGGTTTCACTTAATGGCTATTATGGATCTGTCATCCACAAATTTATCGAAGCCTTTAAAAATCTATTCATATATTCAGCCTCTACCAGCTCTTGGATTAATGAGTTCTAAAATTTTACAACTCACAGTATGAAGCTATGCTTGTTCTTATTTGACCTAAATTCCTCTTTGTTGGGTTTTCAAGGGTGCAAGAGTTAATGTTTGGGGGCATATGATCCAGGATTTGAAACAAACCAATGTTTATTTTCTCTATATTGCTCATTGTTTTATAGAATTAGATTTAATGACTTTCATATGAAAGATGTCAATAATTTTGGTCTACCACTTCTCCCCTGCCTCCTCCTGCAATTACAGTAAAATCTGGAATTCCTGGGGTTGATCAGATCCCAAAGCCCCAAATATAAAGGTTCAGGAATGGTACGGCTGCCTATCCTAGTGTGGAAGCATATTATCTTGGGTGCAGGACACACCAAGAGAGGGGATATGTTCCTACAGATAATTGACTAGCTGAGTAGTACTAATCCTCAGACTTTCCAGTCTTATGTACATTCATATTATATTATTCTAGCTACAATTACTTTTTTAAAAATTAAATTAAATTTTTTGTTACATTTTAAGTTCCAAGCTGTCTCCCTTCCTCCCTCCCAACCCCACACTAGAAAAGGCCAGCTAGATAGATAGATAGATATAGAGATAGAGATATATCTCTGTGTATGTATGTGTATATGTATATATGTGTGTATGTATAAAACCATACGTCTATTTATCAGTTCTCTGGAGGTGGATAACATCTTCCTTTATAGATCCTTTGTAGTTGATTTGATTATTTATAATACTCAGAATAACTTAGTCATTCACAATTATTATCCAAACAATATTGCTGTTACTCTATACAATGTTCTCTTGGTTCTGCACATTTCACTCCATTATTTCATGCAAATCTTTCCATGTTTTTCTAAAAGCAACTTACTCATCATTTCTTACAGTATAGTACTATTCCATACAATCACATTCAAATAAACAAAGCACCTTCCACCTTTCCTTTGGACCATTATTTATGAGGAAAATGGTATCATGGCTTGAGCACTGGGACTTGGAATCAGGAAAGCCTGGGTTTGAATCCTACCTCAGACACTTTCTGCATGTGTAAACCCAGGCAAGTCATTTAACCTCTGTGAGACACAGCACGCTCATGAAAAATGAGGGGAAAGGTGAATTTGATTACTACTAAGGCGCCTGGTGATCTTTGAGCTTGGGAGTAGATGCCTAGGGAGTGTGCATGTATGTCCCTGTCTGGTTCTTTGATCATATTTCAGCATCACAAGAGAGCAAGGGTGAAAACAGAAATTAACAATTAAAAGCACTTGAGTCAGAATCTCTTAGTCATTTCGGGTACCCCTCTCCCAACCTTCTCTGCTTTTAATCTACCCATCTTGAAGTGCAAGGACCAGAATTGTGTGTAGGATTCTCTGTAAGGAAGCACCATAGAGTTAGACAAGACTGCAATCATGCTTTGCCTCTAATTCTCTTATTGAAAACAAAAATGCCAAGATTTTTCTTGACCCATGTTTTGTCCACAGCAGCGTATTTGGCCAGTGTTTTCAGAAGACAATCTACAATGACTCCCAGATCCTTTTCCTCGATTATAAGTAGGAGCTCAGAGTTCATCACATAAATCTATTTGGGATTCTTTTCCCCAAAATGTACTTGGTCATATCAAGTCATCTCCATTTCTGTCCTCAGTTATGAAGAAAAACTCACCTGAGAACATCTACTCTGACATCATGAAGTATAACTGAGATGAGTCAAACAAATTTCTTGACAATTTACAGCATAAAGGAGGAAGGGGAGAGATAGGTCAGGTATTTCCAGAAATAATTGTGATTTATTTATTTATTTTGTTTGTGATAATCTTTTAAAAAGTTTTTTAAACATTTTTATTTAACGTTTTAAGTTCCAAATTCTATCCTTCCGTCCCTCCCTGCCTGAGACAATAAGCAATA